TATATAAGCTAATAAAATAAGATCATAAGTGCGGAAAAAGATAAAAGAAAACGCAAAGTCGCTTTCCCTTTATATATTATAGCCATAAGTAAAAAGTTATATTTGTATATAAACAAAGAAATGTTTATAAGATATAATAATATCTTAAATAACCGAACTATCTAATTATATCACAGAGATAGCTTAAAGACACCGCAACATCTATAGGATATTTTTATAATATATTTTTGCTGTGTAGAGTGCGGAAAAATATTCAAAAAATATTCAACAACGCATTCATTTCCGGAATAAATTTACGATTTTTTTACTTGGATTTTGTGACATTAACGTTACGATTATTATAAAATTGAGGTAAATTTGTAAATAAATAACGAATCGCTCTTCGATTTATTGTGGTGGGATAAGATAAGTCGTAACTGCTGGTTCAGAGATCAAAGAAATTTCGTTTCCGGTCTGATCGATCCATCGTAGTTTCGTTTCATCGTGATATATAATATTTTGAGTGATAAACTGTGACTTTATAAATAGACTGCAACCGATAAAGATACCTAAGAATAACCACGGACATTGCCTGCTTTAAGGGGCAAACGGATACTTTTTTTGTGTCAACCGAATATATGTTTGAAAACAATTTTGCGTTTGTCTTAATTATTATTATTCCTATAATCGCTTTGTTTTCTTATTTTGGTACTGTTTATCTTCAGCTTTTAAAAATATCTTTCTCGATAGTTACATCTTGATAGTTATATTATATTTTGATAGTATAATTAAAGGTGTCCCAAATTATTTTACTTTTCTACTTGAAGCTTTTCAGAAAAATTATTTTTATTAATAATCAATTATTAGTCAATTAGCATACTTATTATATAGTTAGAATAATATTTATTCGTCGCGCATGACGATATCATTAATACTTGTAGCCTAAATAAATATGTATTATGTATAGATAAAACGTTTGCGCAATGGAAAGTATCATATATATCATAGTTTTGTGATTCACGTATTCGATATATATAATTCCACATTGCTAGTTGGCAAGCGTCCTCATATTATCTCACATGCAAGTGCATATCGAAACAGATGTTTCAGAATTGCAAAACATTATGAAAGCGGAACGTCAGCTCGAGTGGCATTTAATTTGCGGAACAGTTTTACGAGCAATTCTCCAAGGGCCAAACGTACGCCAGACGTACGTTTGTAGTTCGAGTCTTCTTATTCGCTTGATTTACAATTGGACGGATGTTTTAAGAGACCGACAAAATCGCTGAGAAAAAAAGGAAACGGCATCGCGAAAATCCTAAAAACTCGCATGCCAAAATGGAACATCTCCGATATATTACATATATTGCAGTCAAGAAAAGATGCGCTGAGCGCACGGTATTTTTAGCGTTCGGCGCGGTCATAAACATCGCCCAAAAGTCATGTCGCGATCGTAGGAAGTCCCGCACTTGTCATTCGATCGAAAACTACGGCGTCTTCCTCGCTCGGTGACGGTTCGGAAACGGCTTCGCAATAAAGACGCCATGGCGGAGGATGCTCGTGGATCACGCATCGTTCCCGCTAGGGCATCTTCAAAAAAATCGCAATTTATGCGCGCAATTTTTACGTTTCGATTACGCTGAAACGCATTACTGCTCTGCCGCGCAATAATGCATTTCCTGTGATAAAAGAGAAATATTGCTCAGCGCGGCAGCAATTTTATTTAAGACAATGATATCTGCAATCCTCTTCTGCTTTGTATTGCCCTCATTTGGCCTTCGAATTGTCGTAATCGCTCGAACAAAGAGAGATTATATATTGATCTTTTTAATGACAGCTATATATCAATCACTCTTTTTCTTGAGATGATAGTCAATAATGAAGACGCAAGAAAGACGATTTATAGAATATTTCCATTTTCGAGTTTGATATAATAATTTCTTGTGCCATATTTAATAATGTTTTTGTAGATTGAAAATTAATTAATTCTTTCATCAATATATTTGAGATTTTTCTAACATTCCATGTCAAGATTTATTAAAGTACCTATATTAAAATACCTCTGTTGTCCATTGAGAGTATCATTTAAATATTAAGGTTACCTTTTATTTATTATATTATTAGACTGAGGAAGACTAAGTAAAATCGAAACGTTTCCTATATATTATATTTTAACTGAGTGACACTTTAATAAACCATTTTACATTTTTTACCTAATTTTCTACTCATAAATTGACCTTTCTATTACCATTATTTTTATTAAAATATTGAACAATATAAGAAAAAAATGATTTCTTATAAAAATAAGTTGTAAAGTTTAACGATTTAATTCCTACAAAATTATGTTTAACATTTTACATTTTATTCTCATTTTATTACATTGTTAGATAGTATAAATAACGTGACAAATATTAGAATTAACGATTTTTCTTTTGGTTTATTATAGTTTTCTAAAGGAAAATACTTTTAATTATAATTTCATCAAGTTAAGAAATCATCGTTTGATTATTTTACATTTTAATGTGATTGACGACTCATTAATTACTTTTGAAATATGTATCTAATAAGAAAAGATATACATTCTCTCTTATTAGATATGTTATAAAATAATTATCTTATATATCTACATATATACATATATAATATATTAATATAATTAATTAAAAATTATATAGATATTAATTTTAGTTATAATATTTATGTAATTTTAATTAATAATTTTAATAAATTGATTTTATTATTTTATATTTATGTTTATACATAATATTATAATACATAATTTATATAAATAAATGCATGAGTATATATAAAGTTTATATTTTTGTGGCTGAATTAATATACACTTTTAAACTTAAAGTGAAATAGGGATATACACAGGCAGTGACATTTTCTAATTTATAAAAAAAGCCTGAGGAAATTTTAATTGTTATCAGGTGTTAGTACAAGATGTGTGGGTAACGAAATCTTGTACACTCACGAAATAATTAAAATTTTATCGGGCTTTTTTTTATAAATTAGAATATAAAATGTGACTGGCCGGAAACTTTTGCACGCCACTGTATGTTTGATATTTGGCAAAAGCGAGAAAGAGTATTCTAGAATACTCGGAAATAAAAAAAAAAAACAAACCTATAATCAATTGATTTTTACGATGCCGATTTTTTTCTATCGGATTGTGAATATAGGAATTTATCCGTGTACATCGCAAGCGAATTTGCTAAACTCGTACAAGCATATCGCGTGCATTAACGCAAAGTTATAAGTGCGAGGCGCATCCCAAAAATAGCTACTATAGCTAGCCGTCATCGACAGGTGGGTGGTTGGGCTACGTCATCCCCCTTGTCGTCGACGTCGCTTTTTCTGGTATTTCATCCGTATATACGAATGACTCAAGCCGCCCGTGAAAGCGTTGAATCGCGTGGATAGGAATAGAATGGAAACGCAGAATGAAGCATTTTGTCGTTCATTACCAGTCTTTCGCCCCATAGCGCGATCGCGAAGGATCAAGGCCAATTTCGTTATTTCGGGTTAATTTGAGCGTGCCAAATCTGCGAGAGCGAGGCAACATTCTCTAAAGCTTCTCCGATTCCGCTACTTACTTTTAACGTTTCGGTTGCACCGATAAGAAAGACGACAAAAGCGAAGATTTAAAAAAAAAAATATATACGATAAAATACTATTTAATTTTGTGAAATGTGCGGATTGCTTCATTTGATTAACAATTGTAACTGTTAACATAAAATTTTAATTACCGACGATGTAATTACCATCTATGTTGTAAATATCACTCGATTAAACACTATATGGCTAAAATAGCGTTGTGGCAATGATGAACGACATAGATTAATGTAGGTCATAGATCAGCGATAGGATGTTTCACGCGATAAATTATCATCGGTAGGTTTCACTGTAAACACATTTCTTCTTTCATCAAAAATAGAATTTCTGGAAAAAAATCGTGATAAAAATCGTGAAAAAAAAAAAAACAATTGTTTTTAGACATTTTCTCTGCCACTTACAGAAAGAGTGCTAATTGAAAGCGTAAAGATAAAAACTTCACGATATCTTAACGCATAAACATTCATCTCACTTGTTCGTAATTATATGAATATCACCAAATTTATATAATAAAACAATATAGAGTGTTAGACGACCGTATTTCGTTAATTTCGTTAATTTCTTAATTTCTTAAGCCACATTTATTATCTTTTCCTCCTACTGCTTCGAGTTATTAAGGAGATTGTAAGGGAAATGTAATATGTTAAGAATTACTAAAAAAAATTACAGATTATTCTAAATTAAATTTAAAAATAATACAAAAAAATTAGAGACAGTTGATCATCTGGAGCAAAAGTTATTTCAATAAAAGGTAATATTTTTTTAATTTATACTCTAATTGAAATATATAAAAATGTATTACAAAATAATGATAAAAATCTCAATTTTTTTATAAAGTTACATTGAGATGCAGACACATTAATTGTTTAATAAATAAACCAAATATTTATTTGTTATAAAACTAATTAGTGAATCTCAATGAAATTTTGCATAAGTCATTTTTAGTATTTAAAATATTTATATAATAAAATTTAGATTATTATTATTATTATTTTTAAATTTTTTGTGTTTATAACAATAAAACAATAATAAAATAAGTAATCTACAATATAAAAATGTGTTGCTCAATAAAAACAAAATATTATGTAATTAATGTTCGAGATACGTCAAAATTTTTCATTTTTTACCTTTTTTTTGATATCTTATGATATGAAAAATATTATCGTTGGAAGGCAGTATTTAATTACTTAAGTATACATCTCTTTGCGCGATAAAACACGCTATCTAGTTACAATGTATTGAAATGGAAAGAAAGATTGGAATATGAACACACTTTTTTTCTCTTTTTTATTAGAACAAACAGTTCGTTTTTTTCATTGACCATGAGTACGTAAAACATAATGATAATATTGCCCTTTGGCCATTTTTATCAAGATCTAAAAATAGCTCTCGAAATTTCACAGTGCCAAGAGAAAGATATCCTTCGAATTATCCATGGATTACCAATGGTCAAGTGACATGATCCGATAACAATGAATAAAAAAA